ATATATAATGTTATACAAATAAAGAAATCTAACTAATAAACTAATATAATAATGCTAATAAAAATATATATAAAAAATTAAGAAATAAGGTTAACACCGAATAAATTTGAATCACATGGATATATGCGAATATATTTGAAAAATGTATCTGGATAAATTGAATACACGAATATATGCGAATATATTCGAAAAATGTATCTGGATAAATTCGAATACATGAATATATACGAATATATTTGAAAAAATATATCCGGATAAATTCGAATACACGAATATATGCAAATATATTTGAAAATGTATCCAGATAAATTCGAATAAATGAATATATGCGAATATATTTATATATTTATCTAGATAAATTCGAATATTTAATATGGATAAATGCGTGGGTGGTCAAATATATCTGGATATATTCAGTTCAAATATATTCGGATATATTTGCTATTAAAAATTTCCTGATGAATATACTATTATAAAAATACTCTTCTAAGTAAACTTTTCCACAAATTGGATCTTATTGGATCTAAATAAAAGAAAATTTCATCATTTATTAATTAGTTGTTTTTTAAAACTAATATAAATATTTGTGTAACCCCGATGATCAAAATCTAGACTTTTCCTATGATCACCAGTGTTGATCACTAGCTAATAGTATTGCTTTGTTTTGAATATATTTATGGCATACACAATATACTATGATGCGTTGGAACTGTTCCACTTATTGTGGACCTCCGATTGATGCTTGGAAAAGCGAGTGCTAGGCGCGTGTCAGGATAGCCTAACATCCTGGTTTGGCAACCTGTTTTCCAAAGAGCCATTAGTCATTGCCAATGTTTAAATTGAAATGATTTTAACTTTGATACTAATATTATTGGTTATAATTTTTAATATCGGACTGTCCAAGCGGGATTGCCCAATATTTAAGGGAAGAAGCCTATAATGATAATGATGAAATTATAGAAATTTCTGAACAAACTGAATTGACCCATGTGTAATAATTGATTTTATAGATGGTAAGATTTAACGATGTGACGTCTGAAATGTATTATGAAAAGATGGATAAAACATTCCCGACTATGTAAAGGTATGTGTTAGAGAAATTTTTTGTTTATTCAATTAGAACAGTTAGTGATGGGGGTGTATGTTACTTGTGCCCGTTTTCTGCTTGATATGTCTATAGGGCAAGAGTCTCGAGTGTGCTTAGCATTGCCAGTGTGAGTCTTGTAGAGGTATCTTACCAAGGAGTGGGGGCCGGACTGTTAATATTGTATTTGTGTCTATTTGTTGTATTGATGTGTCTACGGGACAAGAGTCTCGAGTGTGCTTAGCATCGCCAGTGCGAGTCTTGTTTAGGTATCAAAACAGGGAGTAGATGCATTGCAATTAATTCCTATCACTTATTGCAATATAAACAGGAGAGAAGGACTGGTTATTGTAAGCATGAAATTCACACATACTATTTTTTTAGCTTTTGTAGGTACCATCTGAAATGTATGAAGAAGTGAATGAAACTTTCCTGATTACGTAAAGGTATGTGTTAGAGAAATTTTGTGTTTATTCAATTAGGATGGTTAGTGATGGGGTGCGTGGTACTTGTGCCCATTTCCTGCTTGATATGTAAGAGTCTTGAGTGTGCTTAGAATTGCCAGTATGAGTCTTGTAGAGGTATATTACCAGGGATTGGGGGCTGGACTGTTAATATTGTATTTGTGTCTATTTGTTGTATTGATGTGTCTACGGGACAAGAGTCTCGAGTGTACTTAGCATTGCCAGTGTGAGTTTCGTAAAGGTATCAAAACAGGGAGTAGATGTATTCCCTTCACTTATTGCAATATATATTGTACACATACTATTTTTAGATTTTGTAAGATAAAATATCTTTCAAAGGTATGATTTTTTTTATTTGTATTACATCAGGAATTTTAAAATATTAATAAAAAATATAAAGTAATCTATTTATATTATAATGATATATATTTTAAATTGAATATTTCGTTCTCTATTAAATCTTTGTTAACTCAAATTGATCGCGATCCAATTACAAGTAGTTAAATACATAATGAAGTGCTTGCGAATATTTCACCGGGATAAGTTATATTTCTCTGAATATTCTTATATGACATTAAATCCATTAACAAAAATCAAATTCATTAACTTCAAAATTTTTTTTTATTGTCTTTAAATTTTCATAATGTGTAACTTTTATTATAATTTTATTATGATTCTATAAATAAACATGCTTTACAATTATAACTATAAAGTAATTTACTATAACAAGAAAAAAAAAAAAACATACATTGTTGCAATAAGTTAAAAAGGTGGTTGTTTTATAATATATACTGTACATGTTTTTTTTTGAAATTATATATATATTTATAGTCTTCGGAAAGGATTTTAAAAAATTTTTCATATATAAAAGAAACGAACAAAAAGGAATGTCCTTTTTGCGCAATTGAAAATAACGATTAAAATCGAAATATATAAAAGTTTTTTTTTTTGAAAAATTATATTCACAGTTTTTTTGGGAAGGAATGGGATGGGTCTTGGTTTGTAGTGTTGTGTGTAATGTATAATATATAGATGAAAAAAAAGAAATTAAAGCGAAAAAATTTTATCTTACAATATTTCACAAAGAGAAAAAAATAAAAACATATATGATCTTTTGACTCGACAAAAAATTATAATTGCTTAATAATAAGAAACATCAAAAACAACAATGAATACGAATAAAAAATTTGTTCAACCTCTAATAAATAACAACTTCTAAGAAAGAAGAAACATCGATAAATGACGCTAATTAAATCAACACCGTTAATAAATTAATTTTTTTTTTTTTTTTTTTTTTGCAGTGTTGATTTTGGTTAACACGAATGACGGATAGATTTTTACGTCATTCATCACGTTTCTCTTAGGATGGGAGGGGAGGGGGGAAGATGATACCCTTTTTTTAAAATTCTAAATCCATAGCATTTACTCGGCTATTTGATCCATCGGTTGTTTCATTACCGACAAATGCTTGCTGAGAAAATGCACTACTTGAAGGTATCATGGTATTATCATCATCTTCACCCGATAGTACCGATTGCACCATTTGTTCATTGGGCCAGGCATAAAGCATTAAGGTTTGTGGGGAAATTGAATAATGTCTCTGAGGCGACGGCCTCGTCGATGGAATAGTGGTGGATGTATTAATGCTCAAAGATGATACCGACGTCGAATTTGATATGGTTGTTGGATGCATTATTGATGAAGTAGTATGAGCCCGTTCTCGGTGATATCTCGGGTGAGATTTATTATTCGATGGTGATGGTGATGATGATGATGATGATGACGACGACGATGATGATGATATGTTGGTGGGAGTGGGATTAGGATTTGAGGGTGGTTGGAATGAATTAACTGCCGAGGGTGCTGAAGGAGATGACGAAGAACTTTTTTCTTGTAATGCCGTCGTCATTACCATCATCATTGGTGTTTGTTGTTGTTGTTCATTATTGGAAGAGGTAGTAGCTTGATTTTTTATCATTCCGTAATTTTGGGAATGTGATGCATCGTTCACTTGTGTATGTAATAGTTGATGTTCGTCACTTGAAAATCTTCTTTGTCTTTTAGACATAACTCCTACCATATGTTGCTGTCTCGAATTAAATGCGTTTGTATTAAATTGAGCATTTGTCGGCGCAGAAGTGGATAACACTGAAGAATTGGGTGAATTTCCGAGATGTGATCGGGATGTCATTGAACTTGTTAGTGACATTCTTTTACCCATTACTCCCATACTTGCTCCACCTGTACCCAATTGTACGGTACCTTTAACCCCTTTGGCTGGATTTTTACCAGATGTTGATGCACCACCTCGATTACGTTTTTTAATTACATCAGTTTTTAAACTTAATGGTCTCACAACACCGTGAAGTTTAAGGAATAACCCACAAGCATTGCATAAAGGTTGTCCTTCAGGATTACGACGCCATAAAGGGGTCGTTTGAGTATGACAATTCGTACACGTTGTTGGTATGGTATGTTTTGATGATGAACTATTATTATTGATACCATTCATACCATCTTTATGCATTGATGGTGAAGAAGGTGTCGATATTGATGTATTATTGGATGTAGGTTTAGTTAATGAGGCCCGTGAAGAAGACCTAGGTCTTTTAATAGGCATGGTGGTGTTTGAAGATGTACCCATACTACTGGAAACTTCATCATTAGCCAATGATGGCGAAGTAGTTGGAGAAGTAGTGTTGGAATTTGTACTACTACTACTACTATTATTATTATTGTTATTATTATTATTATGTAATGAAACATTACCAGTAGAAGATGAAAGGGCACAAATTGATGATTGTCTTTTTATCTTTGTAGTGTTATTATTATTATTAGCATTGTTATTATTATTATCGGAACTTCCAATATCATCATCATCGCCACCGCTACCACCACCTTCTTCACTTCTTCTCCACTCATTGCTAATTGAAGATTGTTGACTTTTTCCTCCTCCTCCGGATCCACCAGAACTACCTGATGAACAAAGTTGATCAGTTGAAAACATGTCATATTGAATGGCAGAAGGTGATAACATTTGTTGTTGTTGTTGCTGTTGAGATATATTTCCTTGTGGAAGAATATATATATTGACAATATCAAGTAATGAAGATGATGTTCCTTCAACATTTCCTATATCATTATTTGGATTATATGAATCGAAGAAATATCCGGAATTATCTGATGGGGATAAAGGTCTACTGTTTGAAGATTGAAGATATGCAGCCATAGGATTTGAATTATTTATTCCATCAGAACCTGCAAGATCAAAACTTTGATATGGAAAAGAAGGACCTGAGGAACTCATTATTGAATAATCAAGAGTTGATTGATCAAATGTTGAATTATATGGGGTATAAGCGTAAGCGGTATTTGTTGAAGCAGAAGACGACATAGAATCTGTTAGATCTATATCTGAATCTTCGGCTGTATCACTGGGTATTGTAATACTTGAGAGTTGAGATACAGGATTAAAATTAAGGGATCGTTGTTGTTTCGATGACTATATTTAAAAAAAAAAATTAATCGATTGATTTAATTTTATTATTTTTTTTTTTATATTAATCTTAAATTAAACCTATAATTTTTATTTAAACGTTATTATTATTATTATTATTATTATTATTTTATACATTACCTTTTTAAATGCAGTAGATGAATTATGAGAATTATAACTATGTTGTCGTGGAATTGCCATTGGTCTCCCCGTATTATTAGGAGGTTTCCCTGGATTAATAAAACCTTTTCTACCACTTATGTTTTGCGAATTTCCAAAAAATTCATTTGAGATTCCGGTTAAATCAAAAGTGAACTCATTAGATGATGATGATTTAGCTGAAGAAATATTGTAACTGTTATTGTAATTATAATTATTATTGGATGATGTTGGAATTGGAATGGCCAAAGTGGTAGTAGAGGTAAGTACGGGAGAAGGTGATGAAGTAGAAACTGAATGATTATCGTCGGTATTACTAGCACTAGATTCAGGAGATGCCACAAAATTAGTATGATCATCTAGAAATGATGATTCATATCTTTCTGAATCGAAAGTTCCATTGATGATAACAGGTTTTTGTTCGTCCATTTCCACATCAAGATTTCCAAATATTGCAAGTTCTGAATTATCATCCTTGGATTTACTGAGTTTTCTAAATAATAAAAGAATATAAAGTTAATTATAATTAATATATATAAATAATAAATTTAATTTTTTATAATGTATAAATATTTACACATACTTTGTAGATCGATTATTTGTAGTTATAGATTCCGATGATTTTAAAGGAGTCTTGGAACTTGCAGCCGGACTTCGTTTAGCTCGAACATTATTAAATCCATTAATCGTAGGTGCAGTAGAAGAAGGAAGTTGAGGAGAAGGAGAATTGTTGTTTGATTGATGGGTGGTAGGATTAGAATTCGATTTGTTAAATGAATTAAAATCAATTTCCTGATTTTTTCGTCTTAAAGCGACAGCCATCATTCTCCAAGTTCTATTTTCAACCCTTATTCCATTGGGTAAAACGTCCCCGGCTTTTGTATAAAGGCGCCATATAGTAGATCCCAGTATATCTTTTTTCGCACCTTCATCACTAGTATCAACCCCACGAAACTTCTTTTTAGGAGGGAATATAGGATCATCAAGAATATATTCATAAATATTGAGAGGATCTTGGATGAATTTTTCTACCAATTTTTTGAGATCTTGATTTTCTTTACTATCAGGAACGCCAATCATTTTTTTACTTTGACCATTACAATTATTTAAGTTATTTAAATGATTATTATCTTTATTGTTATTGATTGGAGAGTTAGGACCTTGTTGGTCGGTCATTGAAGTATCGGAAAGACAATTTTGACGAGCTTGTACGGTGTTAGAAGTCATATTAAATTGTCTTGATAACGTGTCAAATTGAAATGGTTCAAAATTCCCTTGAATGATAAAGAAAATTGTTAAAGAAATTGTTAAAAATTGTTAAAAATTGGAAAATAAAAAAAAATTAAAAAAAAAGATTAAAAAAAATTTTTTTTTTTCAAATTAAAATGATTTGTAAGCCAAAATAGGATTAGGGAAAAGGTTAAGAAAAGGTCTGGAAATAGATTTGGAAAAAGATTTGGAAACCGATTAGGAAAATATTGAAAATAATTACTTGATGAAATTCCGGTAGTAGTATTCTTGATATCTTCAAGAGTCTCAGTCTTGTGGATAAAAGAGGAAGACGAAGGCTGATTGTACATTACTATCATTGGTTTTTTCAAATTATTTAAGATTTATTTAAATTTTTTTGTCAAATTTTTTTGTATAGTTTTTTTTTTTTAAAAAAAAAAAAAATTTTTAAAAAAAATTGTCAGTTTAGAAAAGATTTTTTAAAAATGAAAAAAATGAAAATTCATGAGTATAAATATAAATATAAATGAATATATTATATATATGACTCGATAAAAGCTTCAACTCATAAATTTAATAAAGAAATAATTTGAAAAATAGTAGTTGAAATGAATTTGTATCGTGTGCGAAGGGGATGTAAAACTTGAAGAGAAAAATTTTTTTGATAAAAATACAGAAAAATTGGGGGTTGTAGTTCCAGGGCTTTGCTAAATAGATAAATTGAATTAATAGCAATAAGAAGAGGGTATAAAATGATTTTCCCGAGTCAATATAAAAAAAATTTTTTAAAGTTGAATATAATAAAATATAATAAATATTATAAAATATTAATAAAAATATAGTATAAAATATTTAAATATATTATAGCGTATATGAAAAAATTTTTTTGGATTGATGATGAATTATTGTGTTGGGTGGACGGATTGGTGGACGGAATTGGATGAATTGATGAATAGAGATGAAGAACAGAAGATGGATGAACGTCAAACAACAACAAAAAAAAATATATGTAGACAATTCTTTCCTAAAGACATCAAAAATTGTATTTTATAATAAAATGTCACAAATGTCATAAATAATTTTTTTTTTTGATTTGGTATAAAAATTTTTGGGACATCGCTATTTTGTCTGACTTTTATAAAAAAAAAAAATATGGACGGTTTTGGTCGGAAAAGTGTCAGTTAAAAGTGTTCTTTATTGTCGCATGAAATTAAAAAAAAAAAAACAATTTTGATTTCCCCAAAATTTATCTTTTTTTTAAATATAAGAGTAACACTAAAAGCATATACTTCTAAAAAAGTATTCACTTCACCAAATGAGTATTTACCTCACTAAAGAATATTCACAAAGAGTATGGGAGGGACAATTTTAAATATCTTTCGTAATGAATGAATGTTTATAACGATTAATAAAAGTCATGGGGGAAGTGATGTTTTATTTTTAGTTTAATATTATAAAGTATTTATATTTAGAGCAATATTAAAACAATTGATAAATAGAGATATTTTAATGAAGATTTAATATATTTATTTAATCATTTATTTTATTATTTATTTTTATTATTTATTTATTTATTTTAATATATTTTATAATGAATAAAAAAAATGTACTTTTTTATTGTCACATAAATATTTTTTTTTATGCTTTATTTATTATTTTTTGGTTAATTTAATTTTAACATAAAAAAAACTTTCTTTTTTTTCATGATGGTCAACAAGTTTTTTTTTTTTTTTCCTCAATATTAGTCTAGTTTGGTTAGATGAGTATTATTCACATTGTATCGTTTTTAGTATGTGTGGAATGTAACATTGAAACAGATCAAATAAACAGATAAACAAAACTGCAAATTTACTACATATTCTATTTATTATATCTATTTTAATAATATAATATTTATGTATAGTTGTTACTTTAAAACGTAGAATTTTATATATGTTTTTTTTTTCTTTTTGGCGTAAAAAATGAAAAATACTATTAAACTAGTAATCATTATAATATTATGTTCTTTGGAATTTTTCGCTTTTAAAATTAATTTTTGTTTTTCCCAAACCAAATTTTGTGATTTTCCACCTTCACATGACAAATTACCCAATCAATCAAAAGTTAAACAATTAAAACAATTAAAAAATTTAATTTTTTATTAGAAATTGATAACAATGACAACAATGACATGCTGACATCAATTACGACATTACATTTACATTATCGTCATTATCTATCATCATTATTTAATATATCAAGTTTATTTCAGAGAACAATTGGAACAAATTAATCATGATTTTTACTTTAAATAACATTTATTATTGCTTTCAAGTTTAAATAAAGTTTACGCGTATTACGCGTAAAAACTATAATGTAAGATATAAATTGATAAGGATTTCTTTATTAATGACATATGCACGGCTCAAGACCGGTTAAAGTATTTTCTGTACAGATTTATATTCATTCATCTATAATACTACTATAAAATTCTTTTATTCAAATCCTTTCTTCGGAAATCATACATTCATACACTATCTACAATATCTAAGATCTTTTATAGTCTTTCTTTCCGTGTGTGAAATCAAAAGTTATTTCCTTGAAAAAAGACACGTGAACAAATACAAAATCTGCTGCTTTTACTGCACAATTCATTCTTATGCTAGATAAAATAAACCATCATTTGCTATCTATTCTGCGTTGACCTTATCAGTGAAAAAATTCCCTATATTGGATTTATTTATAAAGAGTTTATGCATTGTCGGAAGATTTTGACGAATAAGGTTTATTTGCTAAATTACGTGTCAATAAACTTTTCAACTATTTCAGCTATACCAACTATTTCAACTATTTAAACCATTTTAACTATTTTAACCGTTTTGAGAACGTGTTATTAATATCATATTTTATACCTTCACCTTTTTTTGACTATAAAAAATAACTAATTACTTTATCAAGTAAGTTTATTCAAATTTTATCAACATTTCGCTCTTTATTGCTTAAACTTCTCTTGGACACTTTATAAATTAATAGAACTTGCTTATTTGGAATATGTCATATTTTTTATTATCATAATAAATATTGTGTTCATATTATCATATTATTATCATATCATTTGTTTACAAATACTGTTAGCAATACCTAATTCTGATTAGCATTGATTTTATTTATTATACAAAAATTACATATCTATCCGTTTTTATAATTTAAAAAATAGATATATTTAGTATATATATATATATATATATATATATATTTAAAAAACACAGAAATTAGTATTTTAAAGATTTTTTAATTTTATTAATTTAAACATTTGAAAAAGGAAACCAACTAAAAAATCCAACAATGAATTTATTGAAATAATAGAAAATAATAATAAGAGTAATAAAATAAACAAATCAATTACGGAATTATCTCACGCAAATATTCTCACGAACTATTAAATAAACAATAATAAAAATTTATATTTTATGTATTTAAAGGTTAAAGAATTAAAAATTCATTATGTGTGTATTATGTGATTGGACGGCTTAACGGCGATATCTTTAAATCTTGCCTTTTTGAATCTCATGTTTTTTTTTTTAAATTCATTAAAAATGTGGATTATGAAAGAACATTAAATTTTTTTGTAGGAAAAAATTTTTTAAATAATTACAATATCATTATTTTCATTGTATTGTATTGTGCTCAAATAAAAAAAAATCATTTTCCATTCAAGCAAGCATGTTCTTACATAACTATGACCTTACATAAATGTATATTACACCATTTGAGTAAAGAAAACTTCTTGTTTTTTGATTTGTTGGTTTTTTTTTTGTTCGAAGGTTAGCAAAAAAGTGTACTTTATCTAATTGAAATCTTTACCAGTATAGTAAATTATTGTAAAGTGAGAGAGCGAATGATATAAGGCGCATGATGATGTAAAGGCGCATGTATATAGAATCTCTCTCCGTCCCTCAAAAAAAAACCGAAACTTACTTATTACATAATTAATATTAATTATTAATTCCATTCAAACTTACACAATTAAACAACGTAAATTCTTTTTTTGTTTTAGGATTTTCCTTTCTTCTAAATAAAAATGATGCAACCAAGTACAATTGTCGATTATTCCATAAAAATCATTTAAATGCATAATACATAATAAATACATAATAAATGCATAATAAATACATAACAAATACATATGACTACATACAATACTTTTCAAATTTAATTCGTAAAAAAAACAATTTGTGCATGTTTAATCTTAATGTAGAAAATGTGAAAAAAATAGCTTAATCATATTGGATATCAAATAAATTATGTACAGTAATTTTTGGTGTATCCCAAAACAAATAAGCATCCCAAAAACTTTTTTTCGTGATATCATATGTTCTATATATATTCTGAAAACGGAGTCAGAGGAAATTTCTCCTCCCAAAAGAGCTCAGAAATGACAAAATTGAAACCCAATAATTTAATGTATCGATCCGTAACCCAAACCTGAAAATCCCAAAAATTTTTTTAATTCCACGATTTCCGAAACTGTCAAACTCTAATAACTTTAATCAAAATATATGCATAAATTAAAATTTTTAGAATTAAATTATTATGTTTCCAAAAAAAAAAAAAAAGTTTATTTTTATTTAATCAAAAAATATTACCAATTACCAAATTACCAAAATGTTTTGATATTTTCATCTTCACATTGTTTTGTAATTGTTGTTGAGTTTTAATTGATGTTGTAATCGTTTGTTGTAATCGTTGTAATCGTTGTAATCGTTATAATCGTTATTGTAATCATTTTATTGTAATCCGAATTGTAATTTGTAATAATCAATGATTATTGTATAATCTTTATTGTAATCTTTATTGTTATCGTTCTTTATTTTCTTTTAAATAATGTAAACATAATATTATATTAAAACAAAGATGCAAGGGTATGCTAAGAACAATTACATATGTTTCACTAATTTTGTTAGTGTTTGACTTTACTGCAGTTATGGAAAATTTTCAAAACGTGTTTTTATTCGTATTCAGTGAACTATTAAAGAATGCCAAAATTTTCAAAAAGAAATATTAAATATGTATAAAATGAATAAAAAAAATTTTTACTGGTGATATTATTATTATTATTATTATTATTATTATTGTTATTGTTATTATTTTCGACACGAATGTAAACAAGTTTTTTCCGGTATGTGCTTGTGTACGTTTTGTAAAAATCATCGTGAATAAGATTTATTAAAAATTTGTTTTGGCAAATTACTCTCAAAAAGAGAAATTTAGTGGTGATTGAATTAGAGCTTTTTATTATGTGAATATGCACACTCAAGTTGTGTTATTATTGTTTTTTGGATACAATTTTTCTGATTCTTTTTTTTTTTTT